GCTTGCAGAAAATAGGTCAAATTGAGACGGGAATTGTGTTATTTTCCTTTATCTTACCATAGATAATTAAATTCAACGAAAACAAATGTATTCACATAGGAAGTTATCTATCAAACAAGTTTACCTGGCACATGTCAAACCCCCTTCACGTTTATAAGCGCATTACTATCTTATTTCGAAATGTACTATTAGTTGTATATTAAAAAAAAATAGTCTGCGATCCAAATAAAACTTTAGTGTGATTGGAAAATAAGGTAGAAAAATTAGGTCAGTGCGTTAGTTGAGATGCGTGTAATATGTATGCGTAATTGCTAGGTCATATAAATATAGGTTTTGTTATACAAGCAGGTTAGTTTTAGTCATATGTACCTAAGATGAGTTTGCAAGTTTACTACGGGGGATATAGTCAAACCATAATATTTTCTGGCAATATAAAATGCGTGCATTAGTGGAGCTCCTAGTGACCAATTACATTCTAAAAAAAAGATTCAGTACTAATTTTATTTGACAGTGACCTACCCCTACGGTTAGGCAACACACCTTTACCTCTGACACAAAAATGCGATACGCTAATAGTGATGCTACGTTTTCTATTTCGACCTTTCTGCGGAGATGCCAAAGACCAGGGTATTGTCATAACGAAGCTTGGGGATGAAGTTAGCGGCAGTTGACGGTGTTCGAATGTGGAGCTGGGTTTGAGTATAATGGCGGGTCTAGCGTTTATTTTGTTTGTTGTGTAGTAATCATTTTACTCTTTCTTGTACTGACTATTATCCATTGAATTTCAGGTCACAATTTGTTATTATTTACACGCATAAAATACTGATAGATAACTTCACTACACCTTCTGCTGCTATTCGCGAAGGAGAACTTCATTACACCTACTGCTGCTACTAGCATAGAAACACATCACTCATCACTGGGTCATATATAAAATAAATGGAATATAATATATAATAAAATATATTCATATTTTTATGTAATAATTGCACATTTAGAAAATAAAATCCCAAATTAAAATGCACATATAGATCTATTGTTATCCTTTCCCGGTGCGATAGAGACATTGTTTACAAACAATATGGAATTTAACAAACCAAGGCCGTTATAAGTTATCACATTCAGCATTGTGATGTATCAAAAACGTCAAACTTTGCGTTATTTAGTACAGGTAAAATGACATTTTTGACAGATAACCTGCGCGTTAAGTTTAACGTTAGTGGTACACATCACAGGACTAATTGACATTACTAGTTACGTCAGATTAACAGATAGGTATTATGAAAATTATTTAACGGCCAACTCTACCCAAACATGGTATTGAAAGCCTAAACGGTGTTACTTTTGAAAAAACTAATTAGATCTTTGAGTAAGAAACCTGTAAAAATAAAGCCATTATGAGGTAGAAGTTAGAAAATTGTTCGAATTAAAAAACGGACTCATTGAATTTCATTTTTTCCTTTTAGCGATCGATTTCGGGGTAATAAAGCCATTATGATTTATATGCAAAACTTGCTATAATAGCTAACACATTTATATTGAATCCTTCCTATAAAGATTCATCAATTTACTTGTTAATAACAATTGACCTATTTGTCAGTATAAATATATTGGAAATGAAAGAAATTGGATTTCCCCCTTTACGCTCAATTTACACTCCATAGCATCTACGCGAATATATTATAATGACAACGTTAAAAACCTCCATATAGTTTCAAAGGCAATAAAAAAAACCCAACATTGCTTGATGTGAAAAAGTCGAACTGACAATGGATTCATTCATTGCTGCATGTAAAAATTTATTTTAAAAAGTTGGCATGTGTAAAATTTGCATTGGTGGCAAATAAATAGCGTTGTAAAATTGTGTATACAAAAGGAAATAATTTGCAAGGCGATGCAGATACGGTCACATAAGGTGAAAAAATTACGCTCTATTTCTGTTTCTGTGCTATTATTACATTTACATTGTCAAACTAAGCCAAAAGAAAGGAATTTATAAAAATGTCAATTTAAATTTTTAGTTATAAACATTTTGCGCAAAACACTAGCACTAGCAAAGAATCTTGAAAACGCAAATTTGGAAAATCCCACGTCCGTGATAAAATTCTTCGACTTTTACAAATGTTACTTGCGACCCGTAAATTTGCAGTTTATTTTTTATTAATTGATCACTTACCTCAATGTACTGTCGATTTAAAATTCGCGTAGCTTGTGACAACAGTGTTTAAGCTTCACATGCGCCGCCTACCGCTTAGTATATAAGAGAAAGTTTGCAATGTTTCTTCCTACTTCGTCTCAACTGTTCAACGTTATATGTATTCAAGTAAGTCATTCTCCGTTTTGTTTTTTATAACGTGTCTGTTATGCATGCATAAAGCGTACGTATAAACGAATGCGCTATATTTTGGTGTCCCCGACGTGATCGCCGAAGAATGGTTTTCGTCGCGAATAACCTGAACCGGGTGGCATTCCGTTTCACGCCATTTTGTTGTTTTTCCTGGTCACTGGTGTTTACTAGCGACCACGTGTTCTAAAGTTTTATTTGGGAATCGAACAAATTCACTATGGCAACCAGCGACAATGGAGGCGGAAATTTGTCGGGCACCGAAAACATGGGACAGCAATCGCAGCCCCAACAACCGCACAACGCGGTATCCGCAGCACCGTCAGGAACAATCGCTACTATGTCCCTGACGTTACCAGCTTTCTGACCAAACCGGGTAGAGTTGTGGTTCTCAATGGCGGAGGCAAAATTTGAGTTAGTCTATCCGAAAATCACTCGAGAAATTTAATCATGTGCTAACAGTTCTCACTCCAGAAGTTGCCTCAAGGCTGCAATTATCGCCAGGACAGCGATGTCCGATTCACATAAATTGAAAAAATTACTCTCGGGAGATGAGTTAGGAACTCGGAAGCCATCACATGAAGCAATTAGTGCAGCACTCCGGATATGGCGACGACAAGGCCCTGAAGGAGCAATTCCTACAACAATTACCAACATCCGTGCAAGCCATCTTGGTGTCCCTGGACCAGCTCACGTTGAAGCCGTTAGCAGATACAGCAGACAGAGATACTCCCACTGTTACTGAGTAACTGCCGGTGCCAGCAACACCCAGTAGTGGCATCATGCCAAAATAGAATTCTATTGTGTGACGTAAATTTGACGTAATGAAATACATAACCACGAATTTTGTATCACGCCCTTGCTATTTTTCGTTCCTCTTTCGTTTTGCCCCACCGGTAGAATCGCTTACTAAACGACAAGTTTCTTGCTGGCGACTTGTGATGCATCTCTCTCTTTCATAACGTATTGAACAAAGATGAGAATAATAAACAAAATTGTTAATGCTTAAAGTGCTTAAACGTTTACCGTGCACATTTTGAGGTTACTGTTGTTTGTTAGTGTTTGGGTTATACTTTTACAAGAAAATAGTTAATTAAAACGTCTTGAAAAATGAGAGTGTAGGCTGCTCATTGGTCTCTTATTCTCGACACAGCTGAAAAACACCCTGAACTCATTACGAACAAATTCCATAGTGTTAAATGGAGAAGTGACAACAATAACATGTGGGACGAGCTTACCACAAAGCTCAATGCTTTAGGACATGGACAAAAAACAAAAGAAGAGTGGAAAAAAGTAACATACTATCATAGGTGACACATTCATTTCTTAATATCTCTTACAGCCTCTCACCAACTGGAAAAGTAAAACCAAAGCAAAAGCTGCTTCAATAAATAAACATGCTTTGGGCACTGGTGGTGGACCAAAAATAGTCATAATTTTGACTACCTTTGAAGAGCGATTGCTTCAAATCATGGGGAAAACTTCATACGAAGGAAATAAAGAAAACATAGAAAGAGGACTAAAGCGCAGAAAATTATTTGTAAGTCGTGTTGATAAATTACAACTATCTCAATGCATATTTGCAGACTGAAAGCAACGTCGAAATGGATAACTATTCATCTACTTCAAGTGATGCAGTCACATCTGAAATTTTGTCATTTCGACCTCAGCCTACCGTACACAAACCGACAACTCAGTGTTTGAATGAAATCATTAATTTCACACCATACCAACTGATAAAAAAACCTACAGATAGACAGACTCCACCTACCCCAATACACAGTTATACATCTAATCTCCACCTACCACCTCAGAATACGTTTACACATCCACACCTCAACATTTACATGAAACCGTTTCTCTTACACCACACCGCTTCACAAAATTATGTACAGATACCATGGCACTCCATACAGACTTCCCTAAACCATACCTGCATTCCCCAATACTGTTGTCCCAACAATCCCCAATAGTAAATACTTTGATTGATTCAGCCCCTTCTTCATCAAATCAGGTTGTTAATGTTGTCAGTCCACAACAACTTAGTGACACGGACATAGAAATCGTCACCGATCACACATATAGTATGTTAACCCAGGAGGGAAAAGAGGCACCATCAGAACACAAGGGAAAAGGCACACCATCAGAACAGACGAGGCATTTAATAAAGAAAAAAAAAAGGCCTGAACATCTGTTTGAAAGCATGCATAATGATTTATTAAAAGAAATTCAACAATTAAACAATTATTGCAATCAAATGGCTACGAGTTTACAATCTATTGCAACATCCTTAAAAGAAGCAAACAAAAACAAAAAATGATATTAACAATTAAGACTATCTGTTGTACTAATCTTATTGTCTACATCTAAGAAAAACTATTACACTATTGAAAATAATTTTCAATTAATATTCTTCGAGCATCCCTACCATTTTCATTCATCTGCTGTACATTAACGTTCACTTCATTGGGAATTATACGTTCCATATTCTCTACGTCAAGTTCTAGTCTTGCATCAGTGCATATATTATGTAGCACTGCACATGCAACAACAATATTTCCAACCTTTTCTGGGGAATATCTCAATGTTCTCTCTCCCAAGACGCACCTAAACCTTTGCTTAAAAACTCCGTTACAACGCTCGATACAATTTCTTGCAGAAGCGTGGTGAGTATTGTATCGTTCTTCTGCAGATCCTGCAAGTGCATTTAATACAGGGGTCATTAGCCATGGCTGTTGCGGATAGCCAGAATCCCCTAAAAGCCAAGAATGACGATCTCCTGCTAAATAACACCTCTCCAGTTCTTGGTGAACTTCTGAATTTCGCCAAATGTAGGCATCATGAGTCGCACCCGCAAATTGGGGGTTTATGTTTAATATTTTCAAATTGTAATCACAGATCTGTCGGAAAGAATGCAATCAATCTAGGTTAATAAAGGGGTCTACTTACTATTTGAATATTTTTTGAATGGTAACCTTTTCTGTTAATGAAATTATGTTCTTCTTCCCGAGGAGCAATTATAGCGACATGTGTACAGTCAACTGCACCTATTACACCTGGAAAGTGTGTGGTTTCCCTAAATTTGACTTTAATTGCCAGTTTTTCTTCTTCAGTAGTGGGAAATTGGATCCACTCATCACTTAAATAATGCACAATAAGGTGACTGATTTCCTGAATGCAATTGGATACTGTATTTTGAGCCATTGATAACATAAAATTGTGACCCACCACTTTCTGATAAGCTCCATGACCAAAGAAATATAATGCTGCAAACAATCGCAGCTCAGGGTTAACAGCATTTATATGTGCAGAGTGAGACATGTGGGGCGAAATTCTTTCAAGTATGTAGTGGACCATATGTTTTGTTAACCGAAAGCATCTAACAAAGTGCCTATCACTTAATGTAAATGGATCACTATTATTTCTGGCGATCCGACGTTCGATATTAAAATTACGCATTTCCTGTATTCTTTCCTCTTCTAAAATAATCTCCATTAAGTGCCGAAAATATGGAAGCAATCGAATTAATATCAAAAACCACTACCCTTAGGTTTTTTATAGGTTAAGTTTATTTACAAAAATAAATAACATCAACACACTGACAGTAATGAACGAAAAATCACAACGAATATAACTAGATATATTTGGGAAAGGTAATATGCAGCCGAACATGTACGAACTACAAAGCGATGATAGAAAACTATTTGGCGTGATACCAAATACGATTTCGTATCGGTTTTTTTTTGTGACGTCATAATATAGAATTCTACTTTGGTATGATACCACCACAGGAGCGATCCAAGTACTCAGTGTTACACAAGGTAAAAGCAACACTGACAGGAGCAGAAGTAGAAGTCGACGCCGCAAGCGTGATAACAACAAACCGTGGAATTGTTGGTACCACCACAAATTTGGTACCAATTCCAAGAAATGCACGTCACCATGCAGCTTCGAAAGAAAAAACGACGACTCGAAGTAGAGGCGACGACTACTGCAACCTCTCCCATAACTCGTCGTTTATATGTTAAGGATCGTGTGACCACGACACCGGTGCCGATAATAGTGTGCTGCCAGCACTATATAAACTAAAAGGCGCAAGTGCTTGTTTTAGTCTTCAATCGGTAAACTGATCGAAAATACAGACGTACGGTTCGCGAACATTAAATTTAAATTTAGGCTTACGACGTAACTTTAAGTGGACATTTGTGGTAGCGACAGTAGTGTGCCCAATCATTGGTTCCGACTTTTTGCATTATTAACGGGCTCCTAGAGAGTTTATAATTTTGCGATGTCCGTCCGTTAGCACGATAACTCATAAACGAATGGACCGATTACGATGAAATTTTGCAAGTGGATTCTTTATCAAATTTGTAGATCGGAGTTCGTGAATTGGCAATGTAGCCCAAAAAATAAAGTAAGCCCTTTTGATATCTCCGTTAGTTATTAGCCGAATTGCATGAAATTCAATATGCGCATAGCCTTAGCCATATAAAACAGAATTACAAAAGTTGAGCCTAATCGATCCGCATTCACAGTGCCCTTTGCGCATCTCGACCATTTACAGATCGAATTGCAAACTTTCTTATTTATGAAGGTATTTAAATGAAATTTGATACATAGCCACTTGGACTAAAACCAAATTTAACACCAGTTTTAAAATTTCGTTTTGCGCATGCGCAGTGCCAACTTTCTTATTTATGGAAGCAATTAAATTAAATTTCATATATACAGGGTGTTACACGACCGTTCGAAAAAAAAATCGGGTTGTAGAGGGCATCAAAACAAGCACTTTTTCCAAATAAACCGAGGGTCCAACGTGTTTCGTTTGGGAGCCACCCCCCAAAGAGTGTTGAAATCTGCATTTCTTCTTTAATTTTTTTCTCAGCAACCATAAGAGTTACAAAGTCGGGTGGCATGTCTTTGAATAGGTTTTTGGGTATGCTCTTTCCGATTTTGCAATTTTTTTTTTCAAAATTCCTACCCCTAAAGGGCGCACCCCTAAACTAGGGTGCAAAAAAAAATTCTGATTTCGACGAAATTTGGTATCTGGGGTTTTTTTAACATGAAAATCACGAATCTGAAATTAGTTTTTGAAAATTCGAAAAAAAAAAAGTTCCACTGCAATTCTTGGCGGGACAACGAAAATAGAGATAATTCCACGAAATTTGTTGTGTACATACTAAACGAGTTAAGGAACAAAACTGTCGAACAGTTTTTTAAAATAACTTTTCAAACAAGTTATACTCATTTGAATGTTGGTCCTTCGGGTCGCGAAGTGTCCCAAGCCTACTAGTAAGCCATAATTTCGCATGTGTTGGTTGACAATGTCGCAAAAACAAAAAATTAACGGTTTGAGTCGATATTTTGTTATTTGGAATTAATTCGGTCATTAAATGATTAAAAAATTCGATGTATCGATTAAAACACCTACCAAGGTATCTTAAAGCGCTGATCGATTGTTTATTATCTAAATAAGGTAGGGGAAATTTGTCCTTAAAAGGAGCGTGTTCTATTGGAAGTTATTTTTCAACCTAAGATTATGAAAATTTTTGATCATAGTGAAAAAGTATCATACGGAAAGTGATTTGACTTTTTCCCCTACCTTATTTAGATAATAAATAATCGATCAGCGCTTTAAGATACCTTGGTAGGTGTTTTAATCGATACATCGAATTTTTTAATCATTTAATGACCGAATAATGCTCAGTACTTCCCTCGGTACTTCAGTTTACACGATCATTTTTAGGTGGATTTGGCGCAGCCGTTTAAGTGTCTCTAAAACTCTAAATTTAATCTGAAATTAATATAAAAAGTCCCCTTTTTCTAAACTTCTCCTTCATTAAATGATTAACAAAATGAAAATAAAAAGGTAAAAAACACACAAACCAACTTTAAAATTAAAATCGGTTCATAATATTTCCGTTAATATCATTCTCCATCATCCATACTGACTACTTCGTAAAATATATATAAAAGTCAAATAAAATTTACGCACGTATGGTACAATTTATTTTTCAGGTTGAGTATCCATCGATTTGATACAGTGATATCTGCTGCGCGCTTTCTTTATAAAGAAATATGTCTACGCCACCTTTATTATTTAAATGAAAATGGCCACTAAAATATTCATACGAAAATATGAAGTTTTAATAAAGAATAAGGTGGAATTGGCATTTGACAGAGAGTACTCTTGAAGTAGAATAAAAATTAAGTTAGAAATCCTGAAAGTTGGAAGGAACGTAATAAATTAAAGATAAGTTATGGGCGCCCTTTTTGTAAAATATAAAACTGTCAGCCTTAGAAACAATTTCCTGAAGTAAGTATTTCTTATCTACGTTTGTTTTTTAAGTTAATTACGTTAAATTGTTCTATCTCAATGAGCACTTCAGAATCTTTAGTTTATTAGCCTTTCTCTGTTGTTAGATGGCGCAATAAAGGCGAAGTGCTTATATTGATTAATGTCTGGGAAGTATGCTCCTCGAGTGCAATAAATTGTGATATAGAAACGTTTTTTATCGTTTCTGGAAATAAGCGAATAATATTATAATCGTGCTTTGAGCACGTTAAGGCTTGTTAAGACTATACGGCATCACAAAATAAGCGGGGAATATCAGTGTAACGGTCAATATGCGAAAGATTTTGATTTACTAATCTGATCTACCATAACGTCTTATATGCAGTTTGACTAAAGAAGTCAACTCGACTAAAATCGGGAATGAGATTCTTAAACTGAAAAATTACTATTACTAATTTTCGCTAGTATATTCAGTTGATATGTTGCCCTTAACGTAAAAAGACCTTTAGAGCAAAAATAGGAAATCAAAAGTTTATAATGTTGTTTTTAGATTACATAAATTCGATATTATGGTCATATAAGACACGATTCCATTATGACAAGTTGTCTAACCATGTTTTTACACAAGCCGAAAAGCAGTCAATTATGGCAGTTTCATCGCCGGTATACACCTGTACGATCATAGAATCAACGTTTCTTGCAAGTATTTTTAATTAAATAATTAAGCTTACCTTAAAGTTAGTTTATCACATCAATCCCGTTTTCCAATGTGGAATTCTGGTGAGATTCGTGTAACAAATACGTAAGCGTGTATAAAGTACAACTTAGCCCATAATAATATAGCGTTATAGTTATTAATGATAAAAGTTCGATATGAACATCATAATGAAACGCATGTAACGATAGTTTTAGTTACACGTGTTTCATTAATAACGTTCATACCGAACTCGTATCATTCAAAATTTAATTTATGACGGTCCAAATATATTCTATTCGCTTTTTGATTTATCTAAACCTTTTCTTAAATTAAAGTGCAAATACTAGTCATGGTAATCGCATTTGTTTCAATTTTGACGTTCGCGGTAAGACATAGTACCTACCTAGTTAACTGTGAGGTATCTACAGATATGACTCGACATTGTTCTTACAATTTTTTTAGGGCTTTGTCTTCTTTCATTGTTCCCTCCTAAGACTCCTGATTTTCTTTTCTGGTTTACTTTTTCGTTATTATCTACCTGGATATTACTACGTCCGGTGTGAAACATTTATCTACGCCGAATTTGATACCACACATTGGAAAATTCCACCGCCATCTTATGTCACACCACGCACGTGATACATTACCTGGTGACCTACTTACATCGAAGTTATTGACACCTTTATTATTGTTCCTGATTAACTGCAAGTATTACTGCTAATTATTGCTCTTGTGAACTGCTGCGATACTTCTAATTCTAAGTACCTACATTACTTTGTCGTTACGAAGATCTTCCGACACTTCATTTTTGTCTACGTTACTTTTGTTATTCCGAAGATTCTTTCATGCTAGCTTAACTACGTTTCATATGTTTTATAGTACTCTGTTTACCGATATTTAGAGCATTGCTTGTGAATTGTAAATTTGTTTTTGAAGTTACCAAGACCTATTCCGATATCTACGATTTATGTTTACGTTACTTGAGTCATTAGGAAAAATTTGTTCGTGTTCATTTATTTACATTTTGAATTAATTAGATCATTGCATTTGTATAGCAATTTAGTTATTTGTGCATCGTAAAAGTAGTTTTCTACGTCACGTTTATGCTGTTTATATTTCACCGATTTGTACGGATGATTCGTTGTCAACCAAAATTTTGCTTTTGTTTAGTTACCGTAAATTGAATTATAGATTCTTATTGAGTATTAATTACGGTTTTAGTATTCGAGCTACCTCATTAGTGTCAAACGTTAGACATTGCCATCGCAATATTTATTTACCGAGCTATTCACTAACCCTCTTGTTATTGTTTGTGTTTTTATCTGTTACAGATAAGGCAGACAAGCGCCCTTCTGAGTTCAGACGACCGTTCAAGTTCAAAGGTAATATTTTTATTTTCGACGACTCCTTGATATAACGTTTGATTACATATTGGTTTTCGATACAAGAGAATTGTAATTACTAGATTTGTTTGAAGAGTCAAATTTTCCAGACTACGAGTTGACCCCTTTATTTACTAAAAATTGAGTTACATTTTAATCGTTGACATTTCAGATGTTCTATTTGTAATATTTTGAGATCAT